ATATATATATATATATATATATATATATATATATATATATATATATAAATATAAAAAAGTGTACGCATCCTTTATGATTGTCTATTGTTGTCATTGTTGTCATCACTCTTTGTTAAAATTCAGGTCTCTCTTGTAAATGAGTCCCCGGGGCCCAATAGGATTAATATCCTGATGCATGCTCAATAATCCAGGTAGAAAAATCTACCAATGTCAATCTACCAAATCTAATCCAATGGGATTAACCTGTTTAAATAAAGGTCGAATGAACATTATCTCCATATTATCTCCAAATTATCTCCAGATTATTCATTCAACCTTTATTTAGACACGTTAATCCCATTGAGCCTCGGGGACTCATTTACAAGAGAGACCTGATTTCAGCAAAGAATGATGACAACAATGGACAACAGCGACAACAATAGACACTTATAAAAAGGCATATAGATGTTTTTTTTTTTTTTACAAATTAAAATAAGATGGCAAAAAAAGTAGCAAAAACAGCTCGATTATAAGGTGAATGTAGAAAACTAAAAACGGGAACAGGAATCTCCAGATTACCATCAGATTGTGTCCAGATTATCTCAGGTTGTAAAATGAGTTTTATTTCAGACAAACGACGACGGTCATCAGAAACAGAAACGGAGGACTGCCCGTCAAACGCCGATGCGTGACAATCGTTACGACCCGTCAGCCCTCAGATTGTGAGTTGGGATAACGCTCAGCTACCACTGCATCAGTTAAACAGCTGCAGACGTTCGTCCAGAGGTTCATAAGATGAAAACACGTAATGTCAGAGAAAGTCCAGTCGTCCAGAACCCTGAAGTTCAGTAAAAACAACAAACAAAGGAGCAGCAGCTCAGCTGGACCTGCGACGTGAACCCGATCCATTTCTGCAGCGCCTGCAGGCGTCGGGACGCAAACACAGCAGGGGAACATGATAGTGCTGGGAAAAGTTTCACGGACCGGGTCACCGTGGAGACGGCCCGAAGAGCCAAAGGTTAAGAAAACTGTCAAAACATCTGTGGATTTTATCTCCACTGGACTGAGGAGGACCCGTCAGTCAGAGTTAGACTTGTTTCAGTCTGTCAGGTTCTGGTTCTGGTTCTTAAAGCTCTCACCTCCTGGACCTGCAAGAAATCCATCCTGAGCGTTCGTTTCCAGTCGCTCTCGTTAGGCTGAGAGCGCCTCATGGTCCGGCCCATTTCCAAGAAGGTCAGAACATTTTACTTCCCACCAATCAGGGGGAGTTGGTGTGTTTGTGTCTGAAGGATTACATAATCCAGCTTCAAACAACACCACAGACCCACAAATCCAAGCAGAGTGCATGTTTATGTTAGAAAAACATGTAAATACAGAAAAACCTGCAGAATCTGGACCCGAGAGGAGGCCGAGAACTGCAGGTCCATCAGAACCGACGGAAAACAAGCAGCTGTGTCTTCTGAACTGTAAAAAACTAAAACCTAAATGTCCTGATGCATGCTCAATAATCCAGGTAGAAAAATCTAAAAAAGTTAAGTGTGGTCCTCTGGACATTCAAAAACGTAGAAACGTTTCGTTTTTCATCCACTGAAGTCTTTCGGATGAAAGACGACACGTTTCTACATGTTTTTGTTTTTGTTTTTTGAATGTCCAGAGGACCGGACTTAACTTTTTTAGATAAAAACTAAATGAATAAAAATCAAAAACTGATCAATTTAAAGAGATAAATCACTTCCAGGTTCTTCCTCAGGGAGGAACCGCCGAAGACCAAAAATAAAGTGTCAAAGACCTGCAGAACCTCCGCAGAACTGTTGACTCAGACCCCTTTAACAGACTACAGGACAGTCCGGATTGGTTCAGAGGGTCAAACAGAACCGGATCAGGAGTTTAGTGTCTCATGATTTTCTAAATATATTTATTATTATTTTATTTTTTAACAGACTGTCATTACATTCCTGCAGGAGCCTTCAGCCTCTGAACTAAAAGGTTCTGATCCGTGGTTCTCGACCCAGTTAGCCCAGGTGTTTGCACGTGTTACCTGCCATGGAGGACACGTTGACGATGGTTCCTCCTTCCTTGTCGTACTCTTTGCTCATGTGCTCCAGAGCCAGGTAGGTTCCTTTAATCACCGACGTCTGCAGACACAAACACACCTCGGTTAACGGTCGGTACCGCTGGTTTCGGATCAGAACTTCACCAGGAAGCTCCACAGGAAGAAGCATTTTACCACCTCTGAGATGAAGATTAGAGCTGCAAGTTTGACAGGAAATCTTCAATCTGATAAAAATGACCCGTTAGATTCAAACAAGTAATGCACCACAAGAACAGGAAGTTCTGTTACTCTCACGAGAACAATCATGCAGCTGGATGAACACATGAACAATCATGCAGCTGGATGAACACATGAACAATCATGTAGATGGATGAACACATGAACAATCATGCAGCTGGATGAACACATGAACAATCATGTAGATGGATGAACAC